GATAGATAGATAGATAGATAGATAGATAGATAGATAGATAGATAGATAGATAGATAGATAGATAGATAGATAGATAGATAGATAGATAGATAGATAGATAGATAGATAGATAGATAGATAGATAGATAGATAGATAGATAGATAGATAGATAGATAGATAGATAGATAGATAGATAGATAGATAGATAGATAGATAGATAGATAGATAGATAGATAGATAGATAGATAGATAGATAGATAGATAGATAGATAGATAGATAGATAGATAGATAGATATATAGATAGATAGATAGATAGATAGATAGATAGATAGATAGATAGATATATAGATAGATAGATAGATAGATAGATAGATAGATAGATAGATAGATAGATAGATAGATAGATAGATAGATAGATAGATAGATAGATAGATAGATAGATAGATAGATATAGATAGATAGATAGATAGATAGATAGATAGATAGATAGATAGATAGATAGATAGATAGATAGATAGATAGATAGATAGATAGATAGATAGATAGATAGATAGATAGATAGATAGATAGATAGATAGATAGATAGATAGATAGATAGATAGATAGATAGATAGATAGATAGATAGATAGATAGATAGATAGATAGATAGATAGATAGATAGATAGATAGATAGATAGATAGATAGATAGATAGATAGATAGATAGATAGATAGATAGATAGATAGATAGATAGATAGATAGATAGATAGATAGATAGATAGATAGATAGATAGATAGATAGATAGATAGATAGATAGATAGATAGATAGATAGATAGATAGATAGATAGATAGATAGATAGATAGATAGATAGATAGATAGATAGATAGATAGATAGATAGATAGATAGATAGATAGATAGATAGATAGATAGATAGATAGATAGATAGATAGATAGATAGATAGATAGATAGATAGATAGATAGATAGATAAGATAGATAGATTAGATAGATAGATAGAGAATATGCTTATATGGCACCAGGTCATTTGCATCTGAAATAACTGAACTACACGAACCAGATGATAGGTGGCAGACATGATTCACAGCACCACACACGGCGTGACCTCTAAGTGAACAAGTAAAGGACTCTTTTCACGCCAGTAGTACAACGGGCATATGATCTGGTACTCAACTGCAGGGACAATCGACAGTCAACATCACGCCGGCCACTTTTACTACCCACCACTTTTACCTGGTACCCCACAAAACGTTTGTGTCGAAAGACCAGAGTCTAGCCGCTAGACTACCGCGTCTCCCAGTGGATTCTAAGATGAGGCAGAAATACTCGATAAAATGATTCCCGCCTGTTTATCATTAGTCGAAGTTCCAGCATCCCCGCACACGGGTGGCCCCATCGCTGCTCTGCTCATATGCCAGTTGAAATCCCACAAAACATCGATTACTGTCCACTTTAGAAACTAGTGGAAACTTACCAGTCTCATTCACATCTTGAAACTTGCACTAGCACAAAGTAAAAATTAATAGCGCAGTTTGTCAGATGTGCTGATACTAACGGTCCCACACCAGAATTGCAGCTCACTATTGGCGCAAACCATCAGTCACGAAAGCCGGCCTTGCACGCCCAAAAGTACATGCCGTTCTGAAAGTGCAGTCAACAATATAGTGCAGTCAACAACACGCCGTGAGCACACACAAAAAAAAATATTTCATGTGAAATCTACAGTTCACAGTGTCGCAACAAACACACAGCTCAGAAACTTTGCGACAAAACCTTTTGACACCCGTTCAAGAAATGGGGAATTCACATAAACAAAATCTAACTGGAAACAAATAATTATTCGGAGCGTCAACTGTCAGAATTGGCTATTTCGGCCTGCCTGTTTGTAAAGCTCAAATAAATACACTGTTTGTTTTTTTTTAAACTTCGCTGAAAGACATGTCCTTATGTGATTATAAGACAATAAACGTTTTTACATTCCTCGACAACTCGCCAAAGCTTGAGTGAAATGTCTATATAAGCATAGCTTCTGGACTATCATTTGCTGAACAGCAATCTACAGACTTGCATATTTCCATAGAATAACACCAGAAAATATTGTTAGTTCCCCGGAAAAGGCGTTGTCAACACTTTTTTGACACTCAAGTATCTCCTTCTGTAATTTTTTCATTGTCACGGTTTTTCGTTTCATAGTTTCTGTCAACACATCTGGCCTAAGGCTATTACGTCTCGGGCTTCATGAAAAATTCCAGCTGTTTCCTAGACACTCTCGGGTTAATCAGCGAATTTACACGGTCTTCATTCAACTGAGAACAAAGTTCGACCCTTTTGTGGACAGCAAATGTTCAGGAGAAAACATAATATCGAATTTCGCCGCAAGTGAAACACATTTCACATCATGTGTTTCTCTTCACAATAGTTCCTGCCCAACGCATTAGCTGTTTGTGTCACCACTTGGAGAATCACATATCTTGGAATCTCTCCGGTAAAACATTTATGTGCCCCGGTTCTTTAAGGGGAAAACATCGTGTGAGTAGGTTGAATTGCCAAAGAAATTTGGTATTCAAAAGCATTTAATTGTTTCATTTGTAAATTTATTCACACAACAATTCTGGATAGAGTTTAAAAAAACAAATTTTAGACAACCTTATTGCTAATGTATGGATTCGTCTGCCTTGAGAAATGTAAAAATCCAGGCGGATGAAACTAAGAATCCTTGGGCGTCTAGGGCAGCAGAGTACAACATAATAATATAGAGTGTATGTTTAATGATCGTAGACTTTTTGAAATCAATTATTTGCGCACTGTAATTAAATGTGTGTATTGCGTCATCTTTCATGCGACATATAACCATAAGTTGAGAATATCACAGCTATATACCGGTGTTTTAGTAATTGATCTTAGCTATTTTGGTGTTAGCTATTGAAGCAAGAGTATTTCTGGTTGAGAATGTGTTCATTAACGGTGGCAGGTTTACGAATGGTGCAGTTCAACACTTTATGCAGTCATTTCCTGATACTCAAGGGCTCCATCCTAATACTGTTAGACATTTAACCAGTAAAATAGATTGTGAATAGAGCTGTTAGACAGTACCCAAAATAAGGCAAACTATAGCAGTATATGTTGATTTAACTATAGAGAAAGTGATTAAACAAATGGAAACGGCAGCATTTTCAAGAAATACAGTAATTAAATATGCATACTATACTTAATATATCTGTTGAGAGAGTCTTTATTATAGCTTATCATGGAATCTATCTATCTATCTATCCATCCAACTATCCATCTATCTATCTATCCATCCGTCCATCCATCCATCCGTCCATCCGTCCATCTGTCCATCTGTCCATCCATTCGTCCGTCCGTCCGTCTGCCTGTCTGCCTGTCTGTCTGTCTGTCTGTCTGTCTGCCCGACTATATATTTATCTATGTGTCTATCTAACCACTATAAGACTATCTATAAGTGTCTTAATTTTGGACTTTATTATCTGCTTTTTTAAAATATCTTTGACCATCTGCTTATCTATATGCCTGTCTAAAGACATTTACGTGTGTTTGTCTATCCGCTTAACTGTTTATCTGTCTGTTTGTATTTTACTGGAACAAATTTCACAACCGAGTGAACTAGTGCATCAGATCAGTAGATTGAAACTTGAGACGATTCAACTCCTCTGTACACAACTAAAGACCTGACCAAGAAAACGGATAAGAAGATCTTCTTTGGCAACGTCAAATAAAACCATGGTCTCCCCGAAGAACAAGAGCGCCTGAAGGCAGCCCACCAACCAACCCAGAAGATGACACAAAAACTTGTCGATTCCTGGCCAAGCCTTCTACAAACACGGGGATTCTACCAGTTTTTGGATTAAACCGAATTGAAACCCGAGATTGCACGAAGCGGTATCGGAATTTCACGATATTGACATCCTCAGACACTAGTTCTCATTTCCGGTCTTATATTTGCAGCAATGTGCGACGCCACCAAAACTTTTCCTTGGGCGTGTAAGAGCTCAGCATTCTTCTCACTTCTAGCACTTCTAGAGGCTAAGCTTAAGCCTTGTTTAAGTGCATACTAATAATATTGTTATGACCTAAATGGTAAATAAATATAATAACACTCCTATGTTTGAAATAATATGAAATGTATCAGCAAATACTTGAAAAGAGAATGACCGTACAAGTCTAGAGGGGCTACTTAGCACAACTGTGGATTTTATTGGAGGAGGAAGCCAAGCTCACCCCCTCCCCCCTTCCATCCAAAATATATTGGAGAGGGGTGGGGCCTTAGCCCCTTAATAAATTGGGTATTCGTAACACCTGTGCTACAGATGCGGACAATATTGATAATGATAATGGTTATAATAATAAAAATAATACAATGTTCAATACAATACTACTGAATAGCAAATAGTTATAATACCGTTATAATAATGTTTTTGAAATAATTACAAGTGTATAACATATACGTTAAGATAGCACTTGTACTCGAGGTTTTAGTAGGCAAATTATCCCCTGTTCACACCTTTTTGGAAGGGGTTAGAAGAAAAAGGAGAAGAGGAAAAGGAAGGGGGGGGGGGAGTGAAGAGGCCTAAGTGTGCCTGAACCCCTTAGGTTCGGACGCCCCTGAGTTTCTCACATTTTACTGGTCGTTATATATGTCCACAGCTTCCTGTCTCTTATATTACCAGTAATTTCCGTCGGCGATGATTTCTCATAACTTGAAGATGCCTTGCGTGATTTCTCTGCGTCTTTCGTGACTGTATTTTAAAAAAAAAATCAATATTCCCCACTATAATGATATTTCATTAAATATTATATGAAAGAACAGGGAGTAAAAATCGAGACAGCCAGGTACGAGAAGAGAACCCGACATACGAGAAGTTAGGGGGCAACCTAAGCACGAATGGACATATCCCGAGTGCGTGAAGATAGCCCAACTCAGAAGTTCATTATTTTGTTTTTTTTTTCTTTTCTATTTATCCGTTTACACAGACAGCAAACAAAAAATCATCATCATCATGAGCTCTGGAGTCGCTTTCAGCACCCTCGCCCTTGTCGCTGCCTTGGTGTGTCTGATGACCTGCGTGAGGTCATCACCCATGAACGTCATCGAACCGGTGGTGCCTCTGGTAGAGATGGAAAGTGAACATGCGTGTTTTTTCATCTGCAACATCTGCTTCCCTGAACCGGTCAGTCGATTGTTTACTTGACGACTTCGTTTTTAGTTGTTTAGTTAGTCTTTTTCTGGTAACTATCATCATCATCATCTTCATCAGAATCGTCATCATTATGTTCAATGCTGGGGGCAGAGAAGATCGCAGCAGTCTGTCTTCTTGTTGTTGTTTTTCTTCTTTCTCCTCTTCTTCTTCTTCTTCTTCTTTTTCTTCTTCTTCTTCTTCTTCTTCTTCTTCTTCTTCTTCTTCTTCTTCTTCTTCTTCTTCTTCTTCTTCTTCTTCTTCTTCTTCTTCTTCTTCTTCTTCTTCTTCTTCTTCTTCTTCTTCTTCTTCTTCTTCTTCTTCTTCTTCTTCTTCTTCTTCTTCTTCTTCTTCTTCTTCTTCTTCTTCTTCTTCTTCTTCTTAACTTTCTCTTTTATTGCTTCAGGTGTCAAGGGAGATATACGGTTCTACTTCTTGCTCCTCATGCCATTTCTTCCATAGAAACATCATGATGTTATCTTTCCATGTTGTTCTTAATCTACATAGTGATCTTAGTCATTTTCATATTTTGGTGCATGCTTTTTTCATGGTATGGCATCACAATTTATTCTCTATAAGTGGGAAAGCCATTTAATTTGCTTTCTTTGCATGTAATTTAGAATAGGTTTTGTGCCGAAATTTTCTCTTATAACCTAATTTCTAATTTATTTCTTCTGGTGACCCAAGCAGCCGTTCTCAGACATCTCATTTCCATGGTTACTAAGATGCTTGTCTGGTTTGTTGTGCGTGACCATGTCTGGCATTTGTAGCATAGGGGTGGAATGAATATTCTTTGTATGATATAGTTCTCTGTGCTAACTGGGATTGTTTTGTGTTGTAGAATGACTATCGAACTGTTCAATTACATGGTTTGCTTTACCCTTTCAGAATTTAGTTTCTTTCTCTAATTCACTATCTTCGGTGAATGTTTTCCCAAATATTTAAACTCAGATGCCTGTCTAATACCAGCAATCTGTGGAAGGGAGATCCCCAGTTAGTCGATTCTTACGACATGCTTGCTGGGGGTTTCAACTGGTCTATTCTTGATTTCTCCACAATGAGGCCCCAGATCTCACACGTGGAGGTCCCTGAAATCTTTGGTATGTTTTAAATGTCTCTAGTCCTCCTAATCTGTGACGGTAACTATTGAATACCACAAATGCCTTGGCGTCTTTCCGACTCGACAGTTAGCTACCTCACTATAGTCTTTGCCGTTTATTACGGAATACACGCAGATTTCCTGGTATCTTTTTATTTCACAAAAAGCTGCATAGGAATAGGACCCCAGGGCCTTCAGGCATATTGGGCATATGGGCAAGACCTATATTTTATAGACCAATCAACAATCTGTCAGTTCTCTCCAGTAATGCCAGCGTGGTGGGGAATGAACAGGCAGACAGATTGGCTGGATCTACACTGTTGGGTGGTGAATTGATACATTACAAGCCAGATGCGGTCAGAGCCCTTTGGGAACAAGTTAAGAAGTCAGAAGAGAAACTAGATTATTATGGGCTGGAGAAAATGATGCACCTGGGTGTGACCAGAGGGTTCGGCCGGCACACTATGCTCAGAGGAAAGGTAAGACGTAAACCAGACTACGACCGGCACCATTAGTGTTGGAACTCTGCGCTGGCTGCTGAGGATGGGGACGGAGCGCGTATGGGAATGCCCCGAGTGCTGTGATGTCAATTCTTGACTCAGCTCAACTCAAAACTCGGTGGGTGATGTGATGAACATCACGCCTGCCACCTTTACCTCCCAGGCCTTTTCCTGGTACCCATTTAAGACTGGGTCGATTTTAATCATCACATTACTAAACATTGCCTGTAACATGAGATGGTTTTGAACCATCACCTACAACTCAAGAAGGTAAAGGTTCAAGAATACTAGGGTCGAGACAATGTTGGATCGTTGAATGGCTGCATTATGTCGAGCGACAGAGAAGTAAGTGGTCTGGTCTTCTAGTAAGTCAAATTGTTAGTCAAATTTCACTGGAATTCCTTAGTTATTAGTAGGAAGGCACCAAGTCAAACTGTATGTAACATCTTCTGCAGCGGAACGTCAGGGCGGATCAAGAGAGGAATTCCAAGGGAGGGATAGAAAGAAAAATGACAAATTACTCAAGCCACCAGAGAAGCATAAGACAATACAGAAATCACAATACTGAGTTACAGCGCAGAGTAACAGTGTCACGAAAACAAAAGAAGAAGAGGAATCATTTCTAACAATATGTGCCTACAACATATAGGTTTATAGGATCACAGTGCCACAAAATTAAGACATATGCCTCTTACCCTGGAGATTGTAGATTCTGATTCTGACATCGTCCTTCTGTTGGCGAGGGCAACATTTTCGATGTTCCGTTTTATACAAATCTATGAACAACATGGGCAATCAAACATACTTATTGCTTTATCTGTTGCCCTTATTAAACTTAATAGGTTTAGTTAATTTAAATGCCTGAAATGTATCGATGAGAATTGCCTTAGTAGCATGTATTTCCTCCTCTATTACAGTTAAAGGGCATATTTTTTTCGTTTATTTCTAGGCGGCAATGGTTAAGGTTTTAATACTATTGTCGAGCCAGTAATTAACATGTTCACCCCTATGGGCTAGGAAAAAAGGAACTGGCGGGGTGGGATTTCCGTTTGGGGCTCAAAATATTCGTGGGTTGTCACGTTTTTAGCTTAAAATATTCGTGGGATGTCCCGTTTTCAGCTCAAGATGTTATGGTCGCCCTTTCTGTGGGTCGTGGTTGGAAGAAAAAAAAAACGGGGTGGGGGGTATCGATCATGAAGCTAGAGAATTCCATTCTTTATACGATGTACTGGACAGGTAAAAAGCAGATTTGCAAAGGGAGAAATTGCCTCTCAACCACATTCAGGATAACTCCTGTTGCATTAACGCAATCAGCATTCCTGTTGAAAAAAAAAAAAAAAAATATATATATATATATATATATATATATATATATATATATATATATATATATATATATATATATATATATATATATATATATAAACCACTGCTCAAAGTTACCAATGTTTAGGATGTTATGTGATATGGTGATGCAGCCGAGAATTAAGGGTCGCGTAGCTAGTGCGCAGTCGCCCCTAGCGATGAAGGTTTAGAAGTTTATTCACGCCCAATACAGAAGCAAAAAATTACAAATTCTCTGAAGATTCGAACCCGAATATTCAGAGTAAGATCTTAAGGTTGCAGCCCACAACCTTTTACATTTGAACATGTTCTGAAACTTCTTTATGTATGTTATGATAAACTGACAAACCACATTATGCCTTTCAGGAGGACACCCAAAATCTCCTTGAATGCAGCAATGAAGTGTGTCTGACCATGATGGGAGGATTCTGCCCCATGGAGAAGTTCCTTTGGCTGGGACATCACTGCAGACACTACAGCGAACTAGAAAGGATGTGGTCGTCCTACGCCAAGCATTAGGCACCATTTCTGTCACGGCCCCGAAAACTGCCAAAGCTCTTCGCATGAGACGAACTGAGGGAACCGTTTGGAACATAGTTGTTATCTTATAGCTGGTCTCTATAAGTCCTCATTAGAATCACGTGAAACAAACACAACTAAGCCGTGAGACAGTTTAGTGATAGTAAAAACAAACAAATAACAATATTATATGACCTAGGAGAGAAGCCTTGTAAAGCTCATCGGTGCCGTTTTCGAAGTCAAGAAAGAAGACACAATAATCAACTTCTCATGGAAACAAGCGATAGAGGTACAGTGGAGTGGCTGCTGCGTCTGGCGACTCGAGAATGCATAAAGTACAATGAGGCCGACTGTGATAATACACCATAACACAGACAACATAACACAGACAACATAATACAGACAATATAACACAGACAACAGAATAAAGACAACATAACACAGACGACATAATACAGACAACATAACACAAACAACAAGCTAACGTTGCGCTCAACGTCTTTATCAACGAACAAAATAAGTCATATTTTCCATTCATCAAGCGTTTTCATTTTAAATTTATCAATTCATTCGCTAATTCCTCGAGTAGATTTCTTTCAAAAAAGGCCTAGGCTCCCAGGTCGACACCTCCTAAAATAGGTTCTAGGGAAAGCACTTAGAAGTAAGCACGGTCGGCGTGGTGTTGACCACATCAATTGTCGAATGCTGATTGTTCTTACAAAAATGTTAACTTATCATAGTCTGCCCGATACGCTTTTGGCATGAAAAGGGTGGCTTACTTATTTTACTTACAAACTGTAATTCCTGGTTTCAGCTCAACAGGAATCACTCCTTATTTCTGACGCATAAGAAATTATCTTTTAACGGACTATGTATGGCAAGGAATATCACTGTTTACAACATTCTAGTCCGAAGACATGTCAGTAATGTTACATCAGTACCCCAGATAATTGGATTTGATAGGCATGACGATGTGAAAGGTACTAAATAGTTCATCCCCAATCAACCTCATATGTTGTGACCAATATAGCGTCAATGCGTGATATTGTACATTTCATCAGTAGTAGCTGCTATGGCAGTGGTTCCCAAATATTTTGACATGGGGAGCCTTGCTTAGAATTAATATTTATGCACCTACCGTACCCTATAATACAAGTTGATTGTGTTTAGATGTAATGTTAAGGAAGAGGGGTAGATAGTAAGGGAAAAAAGAGATAGCTAAAAAACTCCACAGAGTTCATAAGACAAAAATTTAAAAAATTCAACTCTAAAGTTTACCATAAAAGTCTTTTTTTTTCACTGCTAGAATTATCAGAATACACATGGTATTGTAAAAACTTGGCCATATTTTTTCTTGAGCAGCCTTGGAGCTCCTGTTAAATGCACGTCCAACCTCTAGGGCTCCAATAGACAAGGAAGACCTTCAGGTATCAAAACCATAAGACTAATTTATTGCATAAAAATAAAATAAAAGGCATGCACGGATATCACACAAAAGTGAACGCGCTTACAATTTAATTTCCCCTGTCATCATGTGGAGAAAAAATATATTTCGTAATTCTCCATTACACCAGTGTGAAACAATGGCCATGTCAGGGTTACAGAAATAAATATTTAATTATTGTGAACTTAAAGGCTACGAATAATTTTTATTACACTGACCAAGAAGTTAAAAAGTTTGGTTCGAGACAAGCTCAGAGCGTGGGGGAAAAACTAGTAAACAAACCCTATCGTGTTTGGAAAGCCGAACTGCTTAAACAGCATTAAAATACTGCTTGTACCGACTGAGAAAGATCATGAATCTAATGCGTGATTTCAAGAACAATAGCTAGAAATCAGCCAACACGGCGGTGGGAAAAAACATATGAAAATAAAACTCATGTGCATGAAAAAACGCAAAACAAGGGAACTTTGGAAAGATCGAAAATATTTTTATATGGCTGTAATGAGAGCGACGTTCTATAAAGGACTGCTGCACTAAAATAATAGTAATGATAGTGATTATTTAATATTCACTAGCAAAAATATTGTGCATTTTTGTGTGCTTGACAATGACATGTTTTAGAATTTAAAAATGTAAATTCATAGATGTTACTGAACAACTTTATTTAAGAAGCAAGAAACAACAATGCTGGCACAACAGGGAATAAACAGACGTGAACAATTGACTATGTATTTGTTTTCTTCCAGTGTGATCTGTGTTATTTCTCTGTCGTCAACGCCTTTGAGCGTTGAGTAACTGCTAGAACCTTAGTGCTCTCCACTTTCATCCCTCTCTAGTCTATGATGATCTCTTGGCTCTTCAGCGTCGTTGACCGGGCCCCTAAAAAAGGATACACCGAAAAATAACTTCTAAAGACCTCAGTAGCGTGGTTCTCTGTGAGCACGCATTTGGTCATGGCAGACTTACCAGAGGTGGAAATCAGTGGCGAAGCTTTGACAAGAATCCACCTGAGGACATATCTGGAAATGAAGTTAGATGGCTGCCCATCCTTCACAGAACACGTCGACCATGTTGTCTCAAAAGCTTACAAGGGGCTGTTCGGAATAAGGGTTCTGATCGGCACTGCTTTAGTTGCAGACGACCGTCTTATGGATCGCGCCGTCATTTTTAACGCCTTCAGAGAAATCAAAATGTTGGATGCAATTTTTTTGTTATTTTGAAGCCCCACCCTAGCTGTTGCTGAGGGCCCTAATTTAACCTAATGGTTAAACGGAGTTTATGAGGTCTCTCCACGGGTGATCCTCATCTACATGGTGGCACTTTGTGTCACCAGGTGTTGTTAGCTCTGTGTGATGTCCTGGTGGGGTAAAACTTACTTACTTACTTACTTGAAATGATCAAACGGTGTTCAGAGCTGCACATCCCCATTGCTGCTAAGAATGCGAGAATTGGGGGAAAAAAAGATCGGCAGAGTCAGGCACGAGAGGCAAACACAACGAACGAGACGTCTTGTCAGTCGGCACAGTACTGAGACTATTGACCATCGGACGTTGATGCACATATTGAGAGGAGAATATGTGCACCTTCAAGTGTGTCCGGAGTGCCACGAAGATAACCTAACTCACAGCTCATAACTCAGAATACCTTGGACAGCTAGAGTAACTAACAACGATTGCTTGAAAGAAGCTAATGAAAGTAGATCTCTATATACAACATTAAGAGAGAGACAACAAACACTGTTCTTTTGCCACATAATGAGGACAGACGTTGGAGAACATCGTGACAACTGGAAAGATGAGTGGATAATTGGGTAGAGGCAGACCAAGAGAGACGATGCTGGATAGGCTAAAACGATGGCGTGGAGGGATATCATCAAGAGAGCTGTTCCAGGCAACCAGGGATCGTGATCTCTGGAGATGCATGCGCGCCTACGCTAGTTGGCAGGGCACATGATGATGATGATATCTCACGTGATACAAAATAGGTCAGTGTTACTCTCACTCCCAAGCTAGGAGGCCAATCATCCATGTTTTCACCAAGACTTCGATTTTATTGTGTATAAAAGTGAAAGAAAAAAAGTAACGATCCCTTTTCACGCCTTTAGACCCGATGCGGGCATATGGTAAGAGCACCCATATTTTTACAGACCAATCGGCACTAGGTGAGTAATGAAGTCAGCGTTACGCCGGCCGTCTTGACTTCCACAGGACAGCCATTCTGGTACCCATTTTAGGCTGGAAAGGCCTGCGACGCCCCATACCATGATACAAATCCAAGCAGCCAGCAGTGGGTTTTGATCGCGGTACATTGGAATTACGAGTCGGACTCGCAACGCCTAAGCAATGGAGGCCGCTTTTATTGTGAATAGTTGGTCCAAAAATCTGAACAATCATTTGAATTTCTAAAATTTATTTAAACCTGTCTCAGGGGAAACCTGTATAGTTTGTTTTTCTCTAAGTCTACTATATTCTATGCATTTTCCTTTAAAGACAATTTCCTCCTAATAAACGTTTTTCATCCTGTCCTACGTACTGTTGTGTGGCTTAGGCGTTACGAACGCGCTTCAATCGAAGCTGCATGCAATTTCTCAGCAAACCGCCTTGTGATAGGGATAGCCAGAGCCGATCGTTCAGTAAGGCAGTATCAAACTGCTGAAAGTTAAACAAAAGAAAATTCCCAGTGACAAACAGCGCGCGAGCGCACGCACGCACGCGCAAGCGCACGCACGCACGCACGCGCAAGCGCGCACACACACACACACAATAATAATAATGGCAAGTCACTAACAGCAAAAAAAAAAAAAAAAAAAAACTATATTCCGAGTCACAAACAGCAGGGAAAAAAAAAGACAAGTCACAAACAGCAGGGGAAAAAAAGACAAGTCACAAACAGCAGGGAAAAAAAGACAAGTCACAAACAGCAGGGAAAAAAGACAAGTCACAAACAGCAGGGAAATAAGACAAGTCACAAACAGCAGGGAAAAAAAGACAAGTCACAAACAGCAGAGACAAAAAGACAAGTCACAAACTGCAGGAATAAAAAAGACAAGTCACAAACAGCAGGGAAAAAAAGACACAAAAAGCAGGGGGAAAAAAGACAAGTCACAAACAGCAGGGGAAAAAAAGACAAGTCACAAACAGCAGGGAAATAAGACAAGTCACAAACAGCAGGGAAAAAAAGACAAGTCACAAACTGCATGGGAAAAAAAGACAAGTAACAAACGGCAGGAATAAAAAAGACAAGTCACAAACAGCAGGGAAAAAAGACAAGTCACAAACGGCAGGGAAAAAAAAGACAAGTCACAAACAGCAGGGGAAAAAAAAGACAAGTCACAAACGGCAGGGTAAAAAAAAAAACAAGTCACAAACAGCAGGGAAAAAAAGAGAAGTCACAAACTGCAGGAATAAAAAAGACAAGTCACAAACAGCAGGGAAAAAAAGACAAGTCACAAACGGCAGGGAAAAAAAAGACAAGTCACAAACAGCAGGGGGGAAACACAAGTCACAAACAGCAGGGAAAAAAAAGACAAGTCACAAACAGCAGAAGAAAAAAAAGA